CGACGTTCAGCGGGACGTTCGTGTGAGAATCCAACAGATTCAGCTGCATCGAGTTCAACACCACATCACCTGGCGGATACCTGTCCCCGTAACAATCCCGTAGGCACGCCTCGAACATTTTGAACCGATACGAACTATAATTCCACGTGATGTCGACGACGGGCAAAATCTGATCGGTTTTCACGAACGTGGAGGAATATTTCGCGACCATATTTGCTCGAGTCTCACTCGAACGTCTGGCTTCTGTCTCGGCCGCTGAGTCAACAATCGATAACGTTTGGTTCGGTATCACTGGCCAGGATGAAACGGTTCTCAAGTTGGTCAACGATATCTTGGAATCGGAGCTGGCAACGCTGAACACCGTAGATTCTTTGGGATAGTGTTGCAGTATGTTGGATGTGGGTGGTTTGTCGGCAGTTTCTGGGTCGGTCGCGTAATAATGGAAAATTGTGCATAGCTTTCTTGGATCTGCCTGCAGAGGAAGTATAATTTATCGTGACTTCGATGATTTGCATTTTCTAAAGTTCTGTGTAATTATTAAACTGCGCAGGTTCATGGAAATTTATGCGGAAGCCAAATACCTATAACGCACAGAAAGTAAAAGTAAAAGTAAAGTAACCTAATTCTCGAGGAATTGAATAGATATGAACAAAGAATATCCAATGCAACCGTTGACTTTTTCATCTGTTATCTATGTTTAATTAGAAAATAATGAATATCTCTAAATTAATTCCTTCCAATTGACTCCAATTAAACGTAAACCTTTTTTATTCGAATAAAGAATTATAAATAATAATACGGGCATTTGGCGCAGCACAATACGAAGTTTTCTATCTTTAATTTATTGGTACAGAAATCGCATATTGATACAACATTCCTCATTCAAATAACGAGTTCACGATTATAGATAATTAAATAATTCAATCGAAACGAGTTAATTTAACCAAACGCTGATTAAAATTTCATTTCATGAAATTCAAATAAACGGACTTACATACGTATATGAAAATCTAATTCATAAAATCACGACATATTAAATAATTTACCAAAAATACTCGATAAATTTAAAAGACGCGATAACCTCTAAGAAGTTACTCAGACTAGAAAATTTTCTCTACAAACATTACAGAAGGAAGAAATTTCGTGTAGATCAATTACGTACGATTAACATTTGGAGTTGAACGATGATAGGAAACATTAGGATTAAAGTGAGAAACAGGGCGTAAATGTTCTCCATGGTAAATCTGACGAATTTCGTATTTCCAGTCTATGAAAATGCTAAAATCTCGTCCGTTTTTTGTCGGAGAAGCCAGAACGTCTTCGTCGCTTTGTGGCTTACGATGTCGACGGTATACATTTTTAATCGAATTTTTTTTTTCTCTTCATTAATTCTATAAAAGTCGGTCAAACACCCGACGCCATTAGACTCGGCGCGGTCTATGGATCGATTTTTACGTCGCGACGCGAGACTACAAAAACCTGTCATTTGTTTATGGAAATACACGTGACCGAATCGAAATGAAGAATTCTGTAATTTGTTTGGACATCTCGTTGACGTTTCCAAATTTAATACATATGCGTATGATAGAGTCTCGTTGTACGTAAAAAGGGACAGCGGTTTGTAAATATATTCGAACGCTTACCATAGAAAATTTTTTACGTAGTAAAAGATATTCGCAGTGAAGTATTAATATTCTATAATTAAAAAAAAAAAATTAATAATTTACATTGTAATATATTGTAATAAGTATTAAAGACGACTCCAATAAATATTAAAACTTATTAATACAACTACAAGTAGTTAACTCATTGTCTAAGTATTTTTGTAATCTTTGCGAGTTTGCACGTAATATCCTATGTTTTTGGATACGTATGGATACATTTTCAAAATGCTTCGCATTCGACATACTTATAGAAAATCCCTCCAAATATTCGAATGAGCTGCCGATCAAATGAACATTTGAAAATATAGAAAAATAGAGAGAAATGTAACATGGAGAGTGAATATGAAAGAAAAGAAGTAATGCAGCGTGAAATTTCAATGAAAATATAGAATGAATGGCGGCGATGTTCTGATAATATTGAAAAACGGTGATCACACCGAGTCTCGGTGATTCACGGGGAAAAATTTCATCGC